TATATATACTATAATCTTTAACACCTGAATATTGAATGGAACTACACTACATTCCATATATGTATTACCTGTACGTATTTTTTTCGTACAGGCAAACAATTTTAAAATATTTAACGTATTGTTTTATATCATTTCTAAGTGAAAATGGGTATTTATTTATTAATGTTGATTGTATAGAAATGCGATAAATATTTTTTTTATGTCCTGTTCCTCTTTTTTCTATTTAAACTTTATGACGTTACATTTATTCTAAATCACCATAATGTTTTGTGTGATTGATCACCCTGATGAATAGCTTTAGCTCCGCTTCTGAATGGTGGTCCTAAAGCTCTAATAAATCCACCATGTATTCTTTATTGTATCTTTTAAAATGGATAAATTGGAATTGATCGAATGTATAAAATTAATGACATATCAGATCCTTGTTTATTCTACAATTTTTAGCTTTTATTTGTTTAAATGAAAAAATATGATCAAAATTAATATTTCAAAAATCATCTGGTGATATTGTTACTATTATATATTTCACTCGAAACATTTATTAGTATTTTAAACAACTATATATTTTAAAATTCTCCAATCAGGTTCTATTTCCATTCCTAATTTTCTTTTAGTAAACAATGTTGAGATGTCCACTCTGAGATGTCTGTGTCCACTGAGTGTAGTTAGCAAATATTCTTCTCTTGACTCAATATTTTTACTAAACATTCGTGTTTGCTTTTTCTTATATTTCTATATTTTTCAGCTTTAAGTTCAAATTTTAAATCTTCATGATGTCTATATGCTATATCATATTTGCAAGCTTCAAGTGGATTAATTCCTTTATCACCACGTTCTAATCGAGTTTTAAGATCTGTACTATGTCAACAATAATTATATCCAGGAAGATGTAACTATAATGATAAATGATTAATAGTATTAATTATTCCGGCACCCTGTCTCTCAGATTTTCAAAGCTATAAGGTATATTATGTGAAAAACTAATGAGATGGAATTCCTTTGGATTATGAGTAATAAAATCTTGAAATTTACCCTTATGATACTTACATTTGATTATAACAATTATAATTTTCAGCTTTTTGTTCACTACGTATCACTAATAATTTATCTATGAGATCCTGCACATAATTGATGTAACTGATTTTGTTATTTGTTTTTTGTTCAGCCCATAATATTTTCAACATCTTATTACATTTTCCCGCAACATTTGATCGAACTTGATATGCTTTGGGATTACAGACTTTAAATATGTGATGAGTATTAATTGCAATTTCTTTAAAATTTTCTAAATCTTCATATGTATATGTAATATCTGATAATGATTTAATTGTTAATTGCCCCGTTTCGCTTGTATAATTAGATCGTTGTTATTAAATTCAAATCTCGTATCACCAGTATATATATTTACATAAATGTCTTAAACAAATGTAGGAACATTAGCATTATTAAGATATTCGGTTAATATAGCTTCTAAATGTGTAATTTTTATTTTTTATTTGTCTTCTATTGCGTTCAATCTTTTTGAACTCTTGTCTTTTTGGAGTATCTGGTGATTCATATAATTTCCTTTCAAACAACGATTATGATGATGTTGCTGGTATTGAAAATTGATCACGATCATGTTTCTATTCTCGGAATCTTTTATATTCTGCTTCTCTTATTTTTTCTTATATTTTGCAAACGTTTATAAAGCAACGAATAAAGCATCTGTGCAAACAGATGCAGAATTTTACATTGCGTTTTTTAAAACAAAAATAGACAAGTTTTATATTACGTGTGTGTTTTTTACTTTTAAATATGTATATTACGTTTAAGTCATATTAGACCGGGTTTTATATTGCGTCTGAATGTTTAAAAACGATTCTATTTTATTTCTATATTATCATTTGATTATCGTGTCATATCAAATGTGATGATACCAAAATGATTCATCCCAACATAATTGACATAAATATTCAATTTAATCAAATATCATATAACCCCTTATAAATTCATGATATATGTGATTTTTATTATGATATTTTAAAAAAATGGATTAACTCTAATCATGTCCTTAGGAATTTTTGAATGTTTGTGCCGAATACTAATAGTCAATACCTTTATGTCTATCACTTGTAAAATATTATCTTACTATATCGTGATTCGCTAGTATGTATTCAACGAATACTAATGAATTTTCTTTACAATCGTCAAGAGGTATTATATCATCATGATTATAAATGAAATTTTGTCATTTTCAAGCTAATTACATTTATTCACAAATGCTTGATATTTATCTTTTTCAAAATAATTTAAATATATGTACACATGACTAATTTTATCCCAATTTAACCATCCTGGACTCATAAATTATTATTAACCGACAAAGATGTTTTACCACTTCCACTAGGTCTTATAATAGCACATCGTATAGGAGATGGTAATAATTTTCCATGTTTCAATGTTTTTCGTTTATGTTTAACTGTATTTTTTATTTAAATCTATATTTTTCATTCAAGTAAGTAAAACGTTGGAGGAAAGTGGAGCATTTTCAGTATTACATAAAAATTAGTTACAATAATATATGATTATTCTACATTTCTAACACATTGTAACTTAAAATAATAATGTCAATATCATAAACATAAAAAATAAACACATATTCTCATAATTTCATTAGGGCAATATAATATTGAAAATTTAGAAAATTATATACAATCACCAGCACCAATTAATTTAACAAATATTAGTATTAAATCTAACCGTATTCTCAGTACAATTGTAATTAAAAGTGCACTTAAATTTAAATTTTGATATAGATTGTAATGGATCATTAGGTTTTCAAAATCAAACTGTTAAAAAATGTACCTACTGATGATAAGAATATTTCTAAATTCATTCCATTTGAAACAATTTAAGTACATTTTAATTGTGCTGAGGGGATAATTCTAAAATGAAAAGAGGAATTTCATAGAGAAATATTCTAATATCGTATAAAGCACATCTCAATTATCAAATGCTAATTATTTTTGAACCATCTAATAAATTATTTGTACCCATTTACATAAAATTCAACATCTTCATTTTCGAATTACAGATGAACATAGTAAAATAATTTTAATGGTACTATTAATTTTGCTACTGGTGCTATTACTATGGCTAATGGTGCTATTGTTATTTTAGAACTAAAAATATTTTTATTCCCTTGTAAATGGAGAAAATGAGTTATCAATTGCAATCGTTTCCTGCTACTTGTATTAGTAAGAATAATATTGGACAACCTAATAAAATGACAAATATACATGAATGTAGGTGATGGTTTGATGCACATCGAACGAGTAGAATTATACATCAAATATTACATTATACATAAAAATGGATCTGATTATTCAGAGTATTGAAATATATCAAATGATAAATTTATTGATAATTCTGTACCTCATTTATTTTCATCTATTGATTATAAAAAACCAAATATATTAAGTTAAGATTATCCTGGTATTACGTCAACTGTTTTACAAAAAAGTACTTTTTCTACAACTGTATTAATTCCATTAGATATTGCTGATATTAGTTCTAACCCAAACCTCCAATGCAAAGATAATAAAGTTCTATATATATTGAGTTTATTAGTTTTTTTATGTTTTTAAAGACATTACATGGGAATGAGTTTTTACAATTTCATTTATATAGTAAACTACGATGAATGATGGATTATATGGATTGGCGTCTAAAAAACAGATGGTACTGTAGATACTGCAACATTACCAGGAGAAGGAAAAATTGGCATTCAAATTTTCGAAATCAATGTACCAATTGTATAATATTAATACGCTTATGGTATGGTATTTAAGACCAATCTGATAAAAAATCCTATATGACAATTTCATTTTATGGTATACAAACATTTGAATAATCTGCAACTATTGGAAAAATTAATTTTGAAATAGATATTACCAATCATTCTTTACAATATGATACGCCATATTTTGTTTTTGTAGTATTCCAAACAAGTAGGTTTAATAATCAAGCAAAATATTTCAGTGAATTTGATCACTGCAATCTACAAAATATTTCAGTAAAAATGTCCGAAATGAGCATTTTTTTAAAAACTCTAAATATTACACCACTAACTATTTATGAAAAAGCATATCGCTCATTTAAAACATTTTAACGAATCACGAATAATAATAATAATAAAAATTTAAAAATGGCGATATCACCAAATCTTTTTATTTCAAGGTATCCCATATATTGATATATACATACATTACAAAAATTATTGACGCAGTACAAAAAATAGCTATGAAATTGCGCGCTTCATTTCATAATGCTATTCCTAATAACTCGTTTGACTGTTATCATTTATGGTACAAAGAGTTTAATATATGATTTTCAACACAGTATCATTCAAGAAAAAAATTAATATAAATGGAGAAAAATGTAGGTTGGTATCAATGTATTCGTGGTTTTATGAAATGGATGAACAGAATATTTGGAGGAATGAAAATGATTCAGGTAACTAAATTATGGCCTATAATATCTTGTTTAAGTACAGTTTAAAGCTAATCTATGAATTTCCACCTAAAATATATACACTGTAAACATGTTTTAAGTATTTTGGTCTCTAACATGTACCCAAAAATTGCCTGCTCTAAATATTCTGATCTATAATATTGAGTTTAGGTACACTGTAATTGAATCAACATGATTATTTTAATTTACTAATTAATTTTTAGAATGATGTTGATATTGATTTTGTTAAAAAAGATATTTTTTAAAATGGTAAAAATTAAATGATTGAAAAATCTTGGCTAGGATATTTGGGTATAGTTAAAGAAAAATATGGTTCAGCATTTTTTCCACTTCTTAAAAACACGTAAAATGGGGATATTTTGTGTTAAAGTGGATAAAACAGTAATACATTTGAGTATTTTAATATGATTGTAATAAAAAATGTAAATATTTAAAAATCTAAAAATTGTTGAACTGAAAATTCTGAGCCCGGAGCTTTGTTATAAAGAATTACAGAAGTACTTGCCATTAACTGCTTTCCTCCTCATAAGAAATTCACTCAGGCCGCTACGCTTTTGCAGTAAAACTGGGGATCCTCTCTCTTCCTCTCTTCATTATTCACTTGGTGATAAACGAAATTAAATTCTGTAATTATCGACAATGAAGTTAACAGGCGAAAAAGAAACCACGATACTAATTGTAATGTACAAAGGAATGTAGGTATCTGTTTCTAATTTATTTCAAATATTGAAATTTAATTATTTGGTCCTGAAAAGTTTAATTAATAACCCAAATATAATTAATGCAAATTGTTGTTTCGTTATGTAAGTTATTTTTCCTTTTTTATAAACAGGGAAAGTTTGGGTAAATGTAATGCAATTATTGGGGGTTAAATATCGCTTTTTAGGGGGGAGGGAGATTTCGAAAATACTCCTGATTTGCGTAACGTAATTTGGGGACGGTCTCTTACGAATTATAATACTACCAAAAAACTTGTAAAACAGATATACTTTCATGATTTTTTAGGTTTTTGAACCCCCCACGTTGAGAATCATTTATATTCGGTTGTTAATCTCTTGACATTCGATATGATTCTGAATCAAATGTAACTTCAAATTAACTTCTACCCATAGCACGTCACACACAGTTTTTAATTGTTTTTGACGTAAATAAATCAATCAATCAAATTCAACTTCTTGGCGGTCGTCGTGAAAGTTTCACAATAATCAACCTGCGAGGCGCTAGTGTATGCAAATGAAATTGTAGAGCCCATGAAATATCCCTCCATGGCGAAATCATGAAAGAATTGTTCCATGGTGAAATTGTGACGATGCTGTTGCAAGATTCCATGCTCATTCTGCGTGCTCTAGTCTCCATCCACCTTTGCTGCGTTGTTCTGGTTTTGACAGTATTGGGCTGTCACGTCAAAATTTGTTTTGAATGAGCGTCCGTTTTAGTGAGCGATAATC